TAAACACTTTAAATTAAACAACTCCTTAAATTATCATTTATTTCTACAGTTGTCAGTTTCTAAAACATTTTGTAACCAGGCAAATGGAAAAAAAACGTGTATCTGTTTTTGCTTGCTTTAGATTATAAATAAAGCTACTCAGAAAAATAGATTTTATAATAATAAATGTTTACTTGTAATAGCCTGGATACAAATAATTGTTCATAATTGTCCTTTTCTGTTCACGTTAGTTGTAAAATGGTGCTGTTGCTGTCTGTGACCACCAACTTTTTCCTCCAAATCAAAATCAAATAATTTCCTCCAAATTCCTGGACTTCTAATTGGTTTTGCAAAAACATCTGTGACCTTAAAGTGTAGCAAATTCTTATGTTGGTCAGAAACAAGTTTCTCAAGTAAACTCAGGCAGCAGAACGCAGGACAAGACGCTTCTGTTTATTTGTTGGTGAATGACAATTAGTCTGACATCTATGCAAAATAGATTTAAACATCAGATTATGTAAAAATTCCAGCTGGCTTTCTAGAAAATAGATCCTTGAGTGTCTGGTCACTACGTGTTCTGAACCATGCTACGATCAAGTTGGATGAAACAGTCATGAAGTTCGCTTTCACTGTAATATTTAACATGTTCAGGTCAAATGAACCATTAGTAAAACGATGCCTTGAATCTATATACATAGATATATATATATATATATATATATATAATACGCCTTTTTGCCACTTTATTGTGATTACTTCATTTTAATTTATTGTTAAAGTAGGAAAACGGCTCCTCAAGCCTCTGTCTGCTTTTTTCATAACTGTAGTAAAATTACTAAGAAGAGGTTGGATTTTAACTTTTTTAATTCTAACATGTTTTAAAACTATAACAGTGACAACATGATTCACTTATAGTTCAGATCACTTGGCATTTAGAGAGAAATAACTGCTAATACCAGCTACTAGCATACCTAGCAATAAACATGTTCTTATAAATGATAAATTGAATTAATTAGTTAATTCTATTTTAATTACTACTGTAATCATGGCTGATTCCTCGTTTTTAGAAGACTTGTGCAGCAGAAATGAGACTGATAAACTCCAGTGATAAACTAAATATGTCTGGAGTGGGGCAGCACGGTGGCACAGCGGCAACTGGTAGAGCTGCTGCCTCTCAGCGAGCAGGTCCCTGGTTCAAATCCCGGTCCAGTGGCCCTTCTGGGTGGAGTTTGCATGTTCTCCCCGTGCATGCATGGGTTTTCTCCAGGTGCTCCGGTTTCCTCCCACAAACCAAAAACATGCATGTTAGGCTGATTGGTAACTCTAAATTGTCCCTAGGTGTGAGTGAGAGAGGGAATGGTTGTTTGTCTCGTTTGTCTCTATGTGTCCCTGTGATGGACTGGAGACCCGTCCAGGGTGTACCCCGCCCCTCGCACAGTGATTGCTGGACATGGGCACCAGCGACCCCCGTGACCCAAAATACAAGAAGCGGGTAAAAGGATAATGGATGGATGTCTGGCGTGAATACTTTTACTTTTCAAAGTAAAGAGTTCTATATATATATATTGCCTGTTGTTCTGTCTGTACAGCACTTTGGTTGGCCTTGTCGCTGTTTGAAGTGCTCTTTAAATAAAATGGTATGGTATGGTATATATTTTCTGTTAACATTTTTTGAGTAAATACTGTAACAACTAGTTTTAAACTTGTGTTATCAAAGCATTACCAGATTATTGTGGGTTTCCTTCAGCCTTTGTGAGAGTTTTGCTAGTTTAAATGGTGAAAATCTTTATTTTCCAAACCTTTCTGTTCCTGAAATGTTGTTTTTCACACACAAAATAAATGGCGCCAAACATTAATATGTTGCTGGACAAAATCAGGCTTCAGTTTTAGTTCTCAGCTTTGAACAGGTTCAGCTTTCTGCAGGTTTATTTATAGATCTTTCTGCTCCTTTTGGGTCTAAAAGTCTTTAAATTTAACGGGAGAAAAACCACCACCATTTGCATCAAATTACGAGACCGCACTGTAGACCTCATCACAGAGCTGTTTAAAATCTCTTGAGTTACTTCACACCCTCAGATGAAGGAGGTTAGGTTTGCTGGATTTGATTAGCTGGACAGTCTTCTGGATCTGTTGCCTGAGTGCAGCCTTAAAGGAGCAAAGATCCAACACTTCAGCTTTGTCTCAAAACGGGCTTTTAGGGTGAAACTGTCCAAATTTAATATCTGCAGATCAATTTAAATTTTTTAGACAGTATAAGCTTTTAATATATGCTTTAACTTTTACTGTGTGTCTTGACTTCTTGTGTTTATGACAAAAAAATCATTTTCCGGACATCTTATTATTAATAAGATAAGTTAAAGAACTCAACTGTAATTATTTTTTAAAGTTCTCACGTAAAGGACGTGTGCAAAAACAAACCTACAGACTTTAAGTGGTTAATAGAAGTATCATATTAAAGCTTAGGAGAAGATATTATGTTGTCTGAGAGCATTTTAACAACCTCCCGCAGCTATCATGTCTCTTCCCTGAACCGAAGGCTCCAGAACGATTGTTACATTTATTGTTCAGCTGCTGCAGCTCCAACATCAAACTCTGTCCTGATATTGGCTTGAAAAGCTGCTGTAAACTCGCATGCACTGTTGCCATATCACTTTAGCTTTTACCTTTTCTTGTTCGGTGTGAGACGCTATTGTTGTTGTTGTTCGAGCTCTGCTACAGTTAATAAGCAGCCTCACAACAGAAGAGTAGCTCTGTGTCACATTTAATCTCCACTACATGCAAAACAAGGCGAGTCACTATTTAAAGAAACCGTGTGACTGCTGGAGTAAAATATCTCGTCATGTTCAGGTCTGCGTGTTCGCTTATAGTCGAGTATGAAAGCAATTAGATGAAGCAAAAGTCTCAAGACTGACCAAGCTCCCACTGTGTGGTGGGAGGCAAGACCCACAAATCCTCAAAGGAAACAACCCACTCTCTAATTTAAAACTTGCTGCTGTGTTTTCATGTCTGCACAAACATGACTACATGAAGAGGAGAGCAGCAGATGTGTTTTAGTTCTGTATTCTGCTCATCTTCTGATTTTATCGCCCTCTGCTGAAGGGAAAAGAGCTATAACAATTTTGCCCTTGTCTGCCTTTGTGTGTGATGGCCGCCTTTAGAAGACATAAAAATGGCTGTAATTGTAGGACTGAAGAGTTTTATGAAATGTGTGGGGGAATTGCTTGTATAAGAGGGCCCCTCAAAATGTGGCCAAATAAGGAATATGGAATCGACAACTTTAACAAAACAGTCAATTAATAATAATAATAATGTTATGTGCTGTCATTGTATGTTTCCATACAATGGCGAAATTGGCTCTCTGCATTTAACCCATCCACCACCAGGTGGAGCCGTGAGCAGCTGTTGAAAGTGCCCGGGGAGCAATTTGGGGATAGTGTGTGCTGCTCAGAAACACCACGAGATGTGCAATGACTGGGGATTGAACCTGGAACTTTCCGGTCCCGAGTCGGCTGCCCTGCCTCTACGGGTACTGAGCTAAAGATTGATGTGGTAGTAGTTGATCATGCCCCCAGCGCGCTGCACGTTGCAGAACATCAGTGCTTCAAGTTTGTCATTAATTGAAGTCCTCTTTGTCTGTTAGTCCAGAGTTAACACTGTCAGCTCTGTGGTACAGAGTCCTGATGACTCCTAACTTGTACTCCAGACTGACTCCCATCACCCCCTGGAGCACAAGTTAGGAATCATCAGGACTCTGTTCCACAGCGACAACAGCATCCCCACCAACTCTGGAGCCAGGCAGAAGGAGAAATCCCACACAAGACAGGCCCTGGAACAATGTGGATATCCTAACTGGGCCTTCCTGAAAGCAGAGAAGAAACCCAAACAGGACTCCAGCCATCAGGTGAAAAGGAGGAACCCAGACCCAGATCTGTGGTCATTCTGTATGTTGAGGGAGTTTCAGAGAAACTGAAACATTTATTTTCTAAACATGACATCCCAGTGGCTTTTAAACCCCAAAATACATGACAAAGACTGGTTCATCCCAAATATCCAGTCCCCCAGCACAACCAGAGTAATATTGTACCAGTGCCAGGAGGGCTGGGATCAGTCTTACATCGAGGAAACTAAACAACCACTGGCCAAAAGGATGGCCCAGCACAGAAGAGCAACATCTTCAGGCCAGGACTCTGCGGTCTACACTCATCTGCAGGCCAGCAGTCACTCTTTCAGGGATGAAGATGTTCACATCCTTTCCACGTCCTTGATAGAGAGGAACATTGGTTTAAGAGGAGTGAAGGAAGCCATCTTTGTGAAGAGAAGCCGTCCATCATTAAACAGGGGCGGAGGCCTCCGTGTCAAATTGTCCCCCTCTTACAGTGCTGCTATTGTATCACTCAGCCCTCTGTGAATAGCAAGTGGACATCAGGGCACTATCGACCAGTTGTTAGGCTGATGGTCCTCCTTTTTTCATGTGAACAGCTAGTTCTGGACGTCAACAGCAAACTGGTTGATCCACTATGAGAAGATGCTATTTATAAGACTGAGTTTATTGCAGCTCCTTAGACTGACGGAGTCTTTTGGATTAAGGACGAAACGTTTCAACAAGAAGAATCCGTCCAGAGGACCTGACTTAACTTTGTTAGATTTTCCTACCTAAATTATTGAGCATGCATCAAGATTCCAATAAATGTTATTACACATTTTTAGCTTCATATCGTCTCCCCTACTGGTCGGAAAAGACCCTGTCCAACAAACTCAAAGTAGCCCACGGGCCACCAGTTGGATAATCACAGTTGAAGCATGCAATGTTGAAGCACATGTTATTATTGGGCAAAGGGGCAGAAATGGCTCCTGACTGTAAAGGTTGCAGACATCCCTGCTCCTGCTTCAAATTAATCCAGTCACATTTCTCTAAGCAGACATGACTCCAGCTGTCTTTCCCCACTAAAGGCGCAGACCTTGTCCGTGTGATTGGGGGGGGCTGAAATAATGCCCCGGCTGTCTTGATATCCCACAATCCTGCTGTAGTGCCCGGTGAGTGTGATAGGCTGGTTGGAGAGGGGAACTGCAGCAGAGGAAGCAGAAGCCCCGAGTGCAACTCGGAGACCCAGCCGAACGAGGACGCGCCGTCTGGTAACCAACCGCTTCATGCTGCTGCGTTTACTCTAAAGGCTTTCCTGGGAGACACTTCCTGGTTTGTAGTCCTCTGTGTTGGGGTTTCTCTTGTTCTGGTCGGGAGAACCACAGCATTCGCGGTTGATGACTCACGAATTAGCATAAAATCCTCATTGTGGCGGAAAACGACGAGCGGACGTGGCTCTTTTTTTTTGTTTTTTTCTTGGGTCGAAAGCCCGAGTCATGCGCCCCGTGCCCCGGCTGTGGTTGTGTAGCCTTTCTGCGCGCACTGTTTCGCTGATTTGTCCGCTTTGCATTTAGCTGTTTTATTGCAGGAAGAATGGAGGGGGGGTTAAAATGTTTAAAATGATAGAACCGGATTGAGGTGAGGTGCTCAAGTTTCAAAACCCGAAGTAGAGAACACGCTTCCCCGACTCTTTTCTCCTTTTGACCCTGGTTTGTGCACGAATTCAGGACGCTGCTGAGTCACTGTTAAAAACGGTTGTTTTGCAGACAGTTGAAGGATTAAAGTGTTGGATTATCGCAGGTTAAAGCTTCAGATTCGGGGTGTTTTTGATCTGCAGTGCGGTGGGCGTGGTTAAAGGGAGGATGGCTGGTCCGGATCCTCTTTTAGCATCCTCCCTGACATCCATCCTCCGAGGCTCGGCATGCAGAGGCTATGACTTGACAATTTAATTAAAATGCACCATAAGCTGCTGCTTAGGGCAGAGAAAAATCGTAGGCCTCGTTTTGTTTATTCACTGCAAATTAGCCCCCTTCACTGCTCTTTCTATAAGGGGGTGTTTGTTGTATTTTAGCCCCTTTTTCTTTAAACAAAACTTTTGACATCTGTTAGGATGCTCAAGATCAAATGCAATTATTGTTTCAGATAAGGCAACCCAATGATAAGTAATATATAGCTGTTGTCTATAATTTGAAATGTGTGGTAGCCTGTACTTTTTTATCCTTAAGCCTTCCTCAAATTATATTTTGCTGTTGGCCTAGAATTGCTTGTCATGTAATATTAACTGCATGTAATCTATATGTCTTTCTATC